CTTGGCTATTGTGAATAGTGCTGCAATAAACATGGGTGTGCAGGTGCCTCTGGAGTAACCTGTGTCACAGTCTTTTGGGTATATCCCCAGGAGTAGGATTGCTGGGTCATATGGCAGATCTATGTTTAGATTTTTAAGAAGTCTCCAAATTTTTTCCAGAGTGCTTGTACTAGTTTATATTCCCACCAGCAGTGTAAGAGGGTTCCTTTTTCCCCACATCCTCTCCAACATGTTGTTGGTGGTGTTTTTAATGACTGGTCCTCAACATTCTGTCTGTGTTTACTCAAGTATCTCCTCTGAGCCTTAGAGTGACAAGGATTCTCTCTGTGTGCAGCCTGGGTTTGATGTTCCATGGTTGGATAAGGTTCTGGACTAGGGGAAATGCCTGGAGTGAGTAAGGGCAAGTTCTGTAGAATAGCAGAAATTCCCAAGGCAGGTTGGTCTGGGAGTGAGGCAGCTGTGTTCCACTGCAGGGTTTCTGTCACAGCTAGTGGATGCTTCTCTTTTGAAGAGGAGGGATTTGAGTGAGCCAGGAACATGGAATGGCAGGGCTGTACCTGTGGTAGTAATGCCAGGTGAAAGCTGACACAAAAGCAGGGGCCTTCAGATGGGAGAAAGAGGCTCTGTGGAGAAATACCCTGAGTTCTCCTTTTCTTCCACCTACTGTTTTCCTACCAGACACTTGTATTGACTGCAACTGACCAGAAATCAGGAAGCCTGGGGAATGCAGTATGCAGAGAATAGTGCCAAAGTGATAGAACAAAGCAGGGAAAGGATAAGGAATGAATCTGAGCACAAAAAAGACAAATGATGTTAAAGTTAAATGATCAAGTTTGAGAACTATGACAAGGTTTTTACCTTTATTTTATAGAGCTACAAATTTTATTTCATAAGACAAGATTTTTACAATCATTTGTTCATATTATATGCTGTGCATTTTAAATTAGTCTCTAATCATTTTCTTTCAAAGGCCGGAAGAGAAATGCAAAATAGGTGCCATAGGCATTAATTGAGTAGGTGGGATTTGTTTTAAAAACATACCAGTAAGTACTAGAATCAATGAATCACAATATATTACCATACCAAGAAGTGAAATGGTAAAAAGAATTTCTTGTGTTCTGTGGTGTTGTGACTACATTAACATAGATGTGTATGTCACTTCCATTATCTCTTAATTCTAGGAGAGATAGTTCATATAGATATACACACACAACATGACAGTAGTAGGCACATCATTTTCACACACCTCTAGTTCAGAATGAATAACAATTTCCTGGGTCTTGCTTGATTTCTTCAAGTACAAATAAGGAGAATAAAAATCTACCTCATAGGCAATATTGAGCTTAAGAGAAAATATGAAAAAGAATTCATAAATTATAGCATACTCTATAAGTATGTAATAGTAACTAATTAGGTTAGTAGCCATTAGGCATTCACTCATGTCTTGAGTTTTAAAAGATCACATTAAAAATAAATCTAAGCAAAGAAACAAAAAAGGGACAAAACAAAATAAGAATGATCTTGAAACTCACTCACTGTGTGACTTGATTAAACCACAGAGCTTTTTTTTTTTGACCTTCCTTTAATATCCACCCAGTCCTGCTTCTAAATCCAGAAGAGTGCTAATCTGCTATATCATACCCTCTGCCGGCAACAGAAAAAGTTCAGCTTGCAGTATCCATCAACCTTCTCTTCCTCCATGCACACCTTCCTGCATTTACCCCGACCAAGTCTGCATGTCTCACACACAGCAAATTCACCTGTACCAAGAAAGATGGTTTGGCTGGCACTCTGTGGAAGGAGAGCATGTCAAAGACACCAAAACAGAGAGAGCATGTATGTATGAGGACAGAATATTTTCAAGGAATGGCTGAGATTCTTTGAAGAGCTCCTGCTCTTTGTGATATGAAGTATGGAGAGTTATAAGCAAGAGGCAGTCACAAGCTCTGCTCTCAGGTGTTTACAATCTTGCATGGGCCAAAAGTAAGTATCAGGCAGACAAATTAAATATGTACTACAGAACTATAAAAATACCTACAAGATACAAATAAAATTTTGCTAAAAAACAGGAGGAATATCTTCTGGAAAGATTCTGGAAGAGGCGGTTAAGAATTTTATGCTCAATTCTTGTTTGGGCCAATCAATGGTCAGGTGTCCTCAGTAGATTGCTTATCTCAGCTAGCTCATTCCTCCAATGGACATCCTAGAGATACTTCTCTACCTTTTCTAATTTTTTAGTTGTCAAATTAAATAACATATGTGATAATATTTGGATTAAATAACAGCATATGTGCACAGTTCTTAACATAGTGCTGGCCCATACTCTTCACTCTGTTACGAGCACTTTTAGTATCTCTTACTCTGAAATACATGTGAACTCTGCTTGGTGTTGTCTATAGTTACCCAAGAATATTTCTTTCAATTCTGTTTACAATATGATGCCTTGGAAGGTAAAATAGGTCCTGTCTGGGGAGGGTTAACAGAGACAGTAAAGGAGGGCAAATATGGTTAATGTGCTTTGTATACTTGTATGAAAATTGAACAGTGAAATCATTGAAATTTTCCTCAGAGGGGATGGGGAAGAGAGAGATGGATTGAGGGGATGAACATAATTAATATATATTATAAACACATATATAAATGTCACAATGAAACCCCTATGTACAACTAACACATGCTAATGAAAATGTAAAAATAAATAAATAATTTTTTAAAAAATCAAAAATATGTTGTCTTCCTGTATAGGAGGACCACAAAAAGTAAGCTATATGGCTATTCATTGTGAGTGGCTCTTCTATAATGACCATGTTTTCTCTGACTCATCTTTGCTCTACTTGATCCTCCTTAAACCAGCATCAAGCAGGTGTGACAGAATTTACTAGGTTTGGATGGACAAGCATGGTCTCAAGCAGTGCTAATCAGCAAGTATGAGGTTGAAACATGCACCATGATCTAATGGGAAAGTCAATGGGTCCAAATTTCTATGGCAAAAATTATGTTCCAGTTACAAAGATACTTCCCTGTAAATGGTAAAATCCAAAAACGATTTTGTCAAGAAGAGGAAGAGAAGATAGAGTTAGCAAGCTGGAGCCCAAGCAATTCTGTTTTCACCACTGTGTTCCTTTCTTGACCCCATCAGCCAGAGATAGCTAACTAGGCCAGAGTGCCCAAGAAAGAAGAAAAATTTGTATTTGAGAAATTTAACTCACCTCCTGGAAATGACTGGGAATACTCAAGTCCTGCCTTACAACCTAAATTTAAAGCAAAATACCTTTTAGAAAAGAATACCAACACAAGAAAAGTCATTATATAAAAGAGTAATCCCACATGTGACATGGTACATAAGGGACTACAGATGACAGTGGCTCCTGGCAACCAGTAAGAAAAATTTACAAAGGAAAGGGAAAAAGGAAGCACCAAGTGCAGTTGTGGGCTCTTAAAAATGTCACTGCAGGTCCAAGAACTTCTCATAAGAAGCTCTGTGGTGAAGGGACCTTTACTCTCAATTTTAGGGTGGGACATAGACGAGTCATGAAACATCACTATCTGCCCCATTAGTATCCCATCCATTTTCATTTACCTGAAGGCAGTTGAGCCAAAATGAAGAACAAAGCAAAGACAAAATAAAATATCTTCTTGCATGTGGCCATCGTTTAGGGGAGACTCTTCAAAACAGGGGTACAGAACTTCTTTGAGAGGACAAGAAGCTAGTTTATATTTGAAAGTAGTGGTGTATGCTCTTGGTCAGTGAAGAGAATCGGTAAAGCACAATTGCATGCTCTATTTCCCAGGATCAAGAGCTGCTATAACTGAAAATAACCTTGGCAGCCATAAAGCGTTACATTTTGGGGTGTCTCACTGTCTGATCAGTTTATGGGATGAATACCTGGCAAGAAATTGGAGAACAAAGGGTCATGTACAGTTCTTCCCTAGTAATACAGATTGAGGAGATAGTTACTGTCCTCATCTCTTCCAGCTTCAGTTTCTTGGGGAAAAATAAGGACTACCACACATGTTCTGCCATCTGTCCAATTTTTTTATGAGGATCTAGTATAATTCTAATGCAAAGTGTTTTTAACATATAGAATGATGACAGAAGCCTGGTGAGACACTGTAAGAGCTCAACAAATGTGTATGCTTACTCTCCTCACTTTTATTTTTATTGTCTATAAATATTTCAGGGGAAAGGGAGGAGTAACAAATATTTTGTCAAATTTACTCTGAATTCTTGCATGTGTAAGATATGTCACAGACCAAAGTCATAATTAAAACATTCTCCTAATTCATCAGGAACATGGGAATCCAAGTAATATTCATATTACTACCCCTCCCCAAATAAGTTCTGCTTTGGACACCTGTTGCTTATATTTATATAATGTTCTATTATTCATCCTAGGAAGCAAAACAGAATAATTAGAAAATGGAGGGCTGGTGGAGTGGTTCAAGTGGTAGAGCACCTGCCTAGCAAGCTGGGGCCCTGGGTTCAAGCACCATACTGCCAAAAATAGAAGAGAGAAGAGGGGAGGAGAGGGGAGGGAAGGGGAGGGGAGGGGAGGGGATGGGAGGGGAGAGGAGAGGAGAGGAAAGAAAATGGAATTATGAAGTCAGAGAGAGAGACTTGCCAAGTAGAAGACCTTAGATGGATTGCTTAATTTTTCAAATCTCAGTTTCCATACCTTTAAAAGGAGGATACACCTCAACAGGGTACTTGAGAGGATTAACTCATATATGGTATAAAGTGCTTAGCTGAGTGCCTAGCTGTCATTACTACTCTTGCAGTCACATTTCGGTCTACATACCTTTGGCCAACTTTTCCATAAACTCTTTTCAAGACCATTAATTCATCTTGAGCACTCCTGACCCACGAAAGGAGCTTATGCTGATATTTTCACAGGTTTTTTTTTCTGTGGTGAGCAGGCATTTCATCTTCAGAAGCTAGGTTAAACAAGAAAGAAAAAACTTTCTAAGATTTTCATGAATACTTTTTCAATTTTAAAAGAGTTCCAAAATAAAAGAGATATCAATGATAGCTTTCAAAAAAATAGAAAAAGAAAGGAAAAGTCAAGTTGATACATGTGTACATGGACGATAGAAGACAAACCTAAAATTTTTCAGCCTTTAGACATTTTTGACAACACAGAGAAGTGCAGCATCACGGACACCTACTCAGAGTGCACAATCCCTCATCCACCCCTTAGGGACCTCATTCTCTGAATTCAATGTATTGAAATTCTTATTGATTGTCCTTTGAATGTGAGCTTTATAAATGATGTCTGATGGGACAGTACAGCACGTGCTGGGACCTGGGAGCCTCAGCTCACAGGTACTCCACCTTTTCTTCCTTATTTATGCTACTAGGAGGGTTCTTAGCCACCTGTTTCTTGGTCCCTGGCACCTTCAGCCTCACTTGGCCTCTCCCTTTCTATCACTTTCTATTAATAATCCACTGCAGGGATTTGAGTGTGATGTGCAGAAGTCTGCTATTGACAGCCTGAGTCCTGGGTGTCTCATGCAAGGCACTGTGGTCACCAGACTCTTGAGGGGCCAAGAGTGCCATAGTGCGAGCAGGCAGCCTGCAAGGAGAAAGCCTCTCACCACTCCAGATTTAGCACCTGATACCTCACAGAGCAGAGGCAGTGATGGCCTGGAAATCACCCAGTCACCATGAAGTGATGGTTTACTTAACTCTGGCTAGGAAAAGGAACACTGGTCCAGCAGGTGGCTGAAGGGCATAATGGCAAGGCAAAGTGTGGGTCACACATTTAGGCACTTCTGTAAATTCTTCTCATTTTCCATTATTATCTAGGAAATGTTGTGACAGGTTTGAATAAATTACCGGGAGTCAGTAAAGATGCCTTTGGGTGTCTATTCTAATGCTCACTAACAAAAGCAAAAAATGATCAAAGGAAAAATGAAAGGGTCTTTGAATATTTTAAAATATATGTATGCTATACAGCAAGATATGTAATAAAAGAAAATAAAGGGAAAACTGTAAGAGGAAAGGGTTGGCTGTATGTACTCATGACCATCACGGCATTAGACAAAGTTGCATAACAGAGATTGCTCTTTATTAATCACTAACTAACGATGAATACTGTGACGAAAGCTTTACATAATGCATTCAGTTTTCTAAATCCAATGCTTTTAAGGAAAACTCTCTCCTACCTCTAATTTGCATGTACTGACAGCAAATTTTTGTATGGAGGATCTATTTTACATATATTTTATAACTCAGAAATTGAGACTCAGATGAGCTAGGCGTGCTCTCTATGTCATCCAGGGGAGCAGGAGTAGACAGAAGGGGAGCTCATTTCTTCCTTGCCACAGATAATGAGGACTGTCTGAGACATTCTTCACACACTCAAGCTCTCTTCATTTACGACAGGTAAGCTGCTATACCAGCTGTAAAGAAATCATCACTCATGTTATACAACTGTACCAGGTAAATACACACTTGAAAGTAAACCAACCCAGGTGGCTCTGCCCTTATGTAGCTGAGAATGCATTTTTTGATGAGAAATGCTGTACCCTTAGAGACATGTGACTTCTTATTGGAAAAATGAACTTATCGCTGTCTGTCAGAGGACTCTGAAGTGCTATGTGACAATACAACCATGTAGGAAGAGTGGAGATAATCTTTGAGATGGAGGGCTCAGGCTTCCTAAAGAACTGAATGACCTAGCTTCTTCTTTTTACTCTGGCCTTTGCAGATACGTCAACAAAAGTAAAGGACTGGTTTTGATCAGTGTCAACTGCTTCATTTAGAAGGTGTAACATGAGCAGCTAAACTTGATGACCTGTTTCTCTTGATTTATTTTTCTATAGATTTGTAGAGGGTAATCATCACGAAACCATCTGATATTTCTATTAGTAGATGACTATAAAAGACTATTACTAAACCTCTAACATCATCTCAGGCAGTTAACTGCAGCAACTTATTAAGGTGAGAGGGAGAGGAGAAGCAGGAGGAATAGAGGTGGGAGGGAAGGAAGGATGGGACGAGAGAAGGAAGAAAGGAAGGAAGGAAGGAAGAAAGGGAGGGCGGAAGGAAGATAGTAAGTAGTGAAACATATCTAGATGGATAGTTGCATTAATGATAGATGGTACATAGATAATAGATATCAAAAACTTTCTTGTGCTACACATCTGTTTAAATTAATCATCTTGATTCCATGCCTTTAATTGGAACTAATTAAATATTTCCTATCAATTGCCCTGTACCCACAATTCTGAGATTAAATCTCTAGGTAAAAGATTTATAAACATTCCTATGATTCTCAATAGCACTGGGATCTCACTCCCTAAACTCACTTTCTACTCACTCCTTTATAGGAACAAGTTGCTAAATTATCTTCTGACTCAGTGCCTTAATTTCACTGTTATAAGATTATAACAGTCCCTCTAAAAATCATGTTTAAAACAAATCCCATTATAAAGGTGTTAAGAAATGACTGATTTATAAGAGGACTCCACTCTTATGAATAGCATTAAATCCCTTAAAAAAAGATTGAATGGAGGCACTGCTTTGCCCTTTTCACATACGTGAAAATACAGCATTCCTCCTGCCACCTGAGGATACAGCAACAGATGATATCTTGGCACCAAAGGTAGGGTCCTCACTATTTATCAAACTGCTTGAACCTTGATATTGGATATTCTAATATGGGGCATGCAGGTAGAAAAGGAATGATAGTAACACAAAGGAGCAAGGGAACAGGTGTGGCACCATGTATGAGTACCTTTTGCCAATCATCTTGGTCCACAATTGTCCTGGAGTAAGCACTGTATACTGTTGAGGCTACTTCCTGGTAGAGAGGTCAATGCTTCCCAGAAACTACCTAACAGGGACTTTCCTAACTCTAGAGGTTATCCACTGGCCTCATTTACATCTCATTGTAGTTACAGCTTCATGGATGCACCTCCCCTCAAATCGCCATCTTGGCTCTGAGGACATACTATCATGTAAACCTCTCCGTGTTCCCTGTATATGGTTATGCTTATACTTACACATAGCATAGCCATTATCACACTCATTAAATCCTACCCACTAATTTGCCTAAGACATGGACTTGTGGTACTTAACTGCTTCGTCATGCTGCTTACCTTCAGCTTCTTTTGGCTGTGTGCTATCCCTTTATAAACATTTTTGCTTTAATAAAATCTAGCTTTTGCTTACAGAAATGTGCTCTGTTAAAGTCTCCAGTGTGTCCACTCCTGAATTCTTTCTTCAGAGAGGCCATGGATTTGCTATTTGTCTCCCCTGATACTTCTCACCCCTAAAACTGAGCAATAAATGTGTATTATTATAAAGTAATCAGTCTAGAGTGTTGTGTTATATCAGCATAAACAGATTAAGACAACTATCTACTTTAAGGAATGCTCTATAATGTTCCCTATGCTTAAAGCCAAGTTTTGGTTTCTTGCTAGGTCATAAATCTTACTTTACCTTCCTCTCCATTCCTCAAGATTAATTTACTTAATCCTGTTGGGATCTATGACACTGCCACGAGAAGCACTTTTTAGTCACACTTTGTTTTGAGCTAATTGTATGTCAAATGCCATTGTAAAAATAATATGGAGATACTTATATCCTTAACCCACTTTCTCCCAAGAGGAACATCTTGCAGAACCGTAGTGTGATATTGAACCAGGATATCGACATTGACACAACATTTCCAACATAAGAGTCTTCCATGTTACTCTTTTAGAGCCAGACCCTCATCTCTTCCATCTCCACCTTTTCAATCCCTGATGCTCCTAACTTATTCTCCATTTCTTAAAATTTTGTCCTTTCAGGGATGTCATATATATAAAATCATACAGTGTGTGACCTTTTGGTTTATCTTTCTTTCATTAAGCACAGTTTTCTGGAGATTCATCAGGTTTGTTGCTGAGTTCCTACCTTGACATTCATCATGGTTTTTTCCCTAGCATGTTATATTCTCTCAAGGGTCTTAAAGAACATGCCTGCAGCGAAACAGAATGTCAGATGCCTTCACTACTGTTAGAACAGCACAAATATGATCATGATACACAACAAAAGGTAAAATTCTTGGTAGGTTTCTTTTGCATATCTGATGTTGTGACCTGTGGGCTCCATGCTGGAACAAAGATGAGACAAGAAAGATGGTGACAGAGAGTGGCATTTTATGTACTGGTTTTGCTCAAATAATTTAATGAGAGACCATCAAACTGAACTGGACTTGTGATCTGGGTTCTCTATTAACAAAGTGAAACCCAACTAAGTATGAGTGGCAAAATAAAACATTAGTAAATTGGAAATTGCCAACTAAGCTGTAATTAGAGATTTTCTACTGGATTAATCCCCAAAAGGTTAAAATTTCATTAGTCAGTTGAGCACTTTCTCTGCCTTACCGCCATGGTTATTCTCCCCTCATGCTCCTTTGGTGGAGCCCAAAAATGTTTGAGATTTGCAGTATCCCAACTCATACCTTGCTATTTGCTCAAATATAAACTTTAAAACTTTAAAGAATGTAAATTTATATTTAACATTACATTTATGCAGATCTCTGATTTATTTCATCAAATTTTTATACTTTTTTGTACATACACCCTGTATATTTTTGTTAAATATATACCTCAGATTTTAACTACTTCTGGTGTTATTGTAAATGACATTGTGGGATTGTTTTTCAAATTCCTACTTTTTATTGCTAGTATATAGGAAAGCAATTTGCTTTTGTAATTTAACCTTGTGTCTCACAATTATTTCCAGAGTTTTTTGTTATAATTGATTCTTTGGGATTCTCTTTTTTATTTTTTATTGGAGAGGGGCTGTATTGGGGTTTGAACTCAAGGCTAGGCAAGCACTTGACCACTTGAGCTACACCTCTGGTCCTATTTCCTTTACACTTTTTGCCTGGGGCCAACCTTCACCACTTTCCTCCTGATCTGTGATCTCTGTCTCCAGAGTAGCTGGGATAACAGGCATTGGCCACTTATCCCAGCCTAGGATTTTCTACAAAACAATGGTGCCATTTGTGAACAAAGACACTTTCATTTCTTTATTTCAAATTTATATGAACTTTACATCCTTTTCATGTCTTGTTGTACTAGCTGTAACTTTTAGTTGAGGTTGGTTTGTTCATGCTGACAGATATTGGTGTTTTTGGAAATATATAATTAAAAACAAAATATTTTCCCAGGCCAGATATCATTCAATAAACATCACACAAGTACATGCTCTGCACCCCAGGCAATCTACCAACAGATTCCAAGACAGAAAGGAACCTCCCTTATACGGACAATCAGATTTCGCCCATTATATACATGACTGGTCATGTCAGTGCTTCTTGGTTCTCCCATTCATCTGCCTGACAGCCTCTACCTGCTTTGCATTTGCAACCTGCTGCATGAATACCACTGTCACCTGGTTTGCTTCCAGTCAGTGAATCAAGTGTGGGAATAGGACTGTGACATATTTGCTATATTTTACCATTGGTCCTGGTCCCCCATCAGCAATACTGAATCTTCCTGTCTGCATCCTTCTGCTGTCCTCTGCCCTCTTCTCCAGCCTTTTTCCAAGTGTCAACCTGCACCTGGAGCTGAAGTCCTTCCCTGCCATCTTACTCCTCTTCCCTTAACCTCCTCAGTCATTTCCAAATAAGTTCATTTCCCTTCTAATTCCTGTTGGTGTCTGCTCTTTGGAGGACCCAAATGCACACATTTGGTGATTTTCTGACTGCATCCTATTACTGTGTAAGGAGGACTCGTCCTAAGAGGGTACTCTGTAGGACACACAGGCTGCTACATTTTTCTTAAGGTGTGTGATCAAGGTACTACCTGTCAGGGCTGGTCCAACCAAGGTTGTACATGTTCACTTCCTCTAAAATACTTCATTATTTGTGGAGAGCTGAGTAGGAGAAGCCTATGAGGACATAAGTACAGTTGTACTCAATATTCTAAGGCTGAGTCTGGCACAACCCCAGCTGCAGAAGAGAATGAGAAGGTGAGCTTCAGCTCAACTGCTTTTCCTAAGTTGTTTACTTTCAAGAAACAGGAACACAGGTTTCTCCTGTTACAATGTCATGCCCCTCCCCAAGAACTGTGCTCCACCTCCTTGTTTATCACTGGGTATAAAAGACTTGCTGAAGGAGGACAAAGGCTTTTTGATGAAGGGAGGCTTTTGGATGGGGGATATTTGGCTAAAGGGAAATTGCTGAAGGGGGAAAATGAATTGCTGAAGCGAGGATTGCTGAAGGGAAAAGACTTGCTGAAGGTGAATTGCTAAAGGGGCTAGCATGTCTGAGGGCTGAGACTTTAAGAAAGCTAAAGAGAGAACACGGGACAGTGCAAGTCTGCACTAAGAACTTTATGCATAGGCTTTAGGAAAGCTAATCTAAAAAAAAAGCTAAAGAGAACATTGGACTGTGCAAGTCTGAGCACCAAGGCTTTAAGAAAGCTAAAGAGAGAACATGGGACAGTGCAAGTCTGGGGGCAAAGACTTTAAGAGAGAATATGCTAAAGAAACGCTAAGAGAAAACGTGGGACAGTGGGAGTCTAAGGAAAGAGACTTTAAAGAACAGAAAAGAAGACTTTAGAAATGAGGTTTTAAAGAATAGAAAGAAGAAAGACTTTAGAAGCAAAGTTTTAAAAAATTATAAAGGAGTAATACCTTAAAGAATAAAGACAGAGAAAAGAAACAGAGTAAATGAGGAGAATAATAGAGAACAGAAACAATGAGGCTGTTGTGCGTCTCCACCTGAGTGCCCAACACACCTGGCCCAAACTTTCTGTCTGTCTGTCTATCCTGTGTCCTTTCTGCATCTCTCATCGCCCCCAGGTATGTCCAGTTAGGTTCAGTAATGACCAGGAGCAAGAGAAAGCTCACTCCAATTATTTTTTTCTTAAGATAAAATCATATGATCTTTTGCCTAAGGGCAAATGACAGAAGGCTGAGCACTTTGTGTATTGCCTATGGGCAGAGGTAGGAATTAAATCCAAGTTCATAAGATCTCTGGAAGGATAAAGAGTAAAATTACCCATTATTTGCTGCATTGTCAGAAATGCACCATTCCCATAAATTCTCCTCATTTTAACTCTCTTCTCATTCTTGCTCCTTTCCCTTTGAGCCCCTAGCCAGTCTGATGTTCTGAAGGCAGACACCACATTGTTTGATGTTGCCCTCCACAAAGTATGCTCAGTGTCACCCATTGCTGTCCTCATCTTTCATGCTTCTGTCCCTGTACCCAAGACCCCCTTGGGTAGTCATGAACTCCCAGATGCCATGCCATTCTTTTCTTCAAGGTACTATGTTTTCTCCTTCTTTCTTTGCTTCTGAGGGATCCTGGAAATTTACATGAAGCAATTTAATGCCAGCTTAAATGAAACAGAACTGAAAGTACTTTCACCAGGATCACATAATGTCAAAGCTGAACAGTATTTCGGCTAACATCTAATTGAATTCTTATTTCAGGTGGAGAGACAGATGAGATGACTTGGGCTTTCCATACAGAAAACACGCTTCTCACCACCAACACTGCTAACATGCCATTTCTGATGTCCCAATGCCTCCCCTCTCTGCGCATTGGTGAGTACTCACTAAGGAATGCAGCCATGGGTAAGCTTCAGCTGCCAGAAACCATACTCTGCCCATAAATAGAGCTGATCCTCATGCCTGGGGGTTAAGTCCTCACCTTCTTCTGCTTCTCTCCGGGAACCCTTGCATTATGAGGAGTCTTGTGCTGCTTTTAGCCATTTCTCTCCTACTCTACCAAGATCCTCCAGGTAAAGAGACTCACCTAGAAACACATAGACTGGCACAGAGGAGAGGTGGGGGAAAACTTAATTCAGAAAATATATCTTGAAGGATTCAGCAACCTTCTTCAATTGTAACATTTACCTCTTTGAGTTTGTTGAATCTGTTAGTAAAATACTATAAATAATTATCCACTTATCTGCCCCTTTCAGTGAGGCTAACTAACCCAAGGAGGAAAACAAACAAAACAAGCAGGGACCAGGACTCTTGGGTGTCATAGACAATCCCTAGCTGCCCATGATAGGAATTCCTCATAGGCTCCTATCTTAGGTAATGGGGATTCACTAACCATTCTCCCTCCATTGTATGGCAGGTCCAAGTAAACATTGTTGATTTTGTGAAATTAGATGTCTTCTCCCCTCTGCCTCCTTTGGAATAGCTTTTCTCTGCACATAAGGGGACCTACTCAGCTTCCTAAATTTGACACTTTTTTCTGTCAAGTCAGGACATTAGAATTAAGTGACATGCAGTGAGTCAAAGGGGTAATATTGATAACTCAAAGAGCAGGCACTGTGGACTCTGCTGAGATGTCAGCAGTCCTTGGACTCCCATGTTAATCTGTGTATCTAGAAACATACATTTACAAAGTATTATATTTGTAATGGTATGAGGTGCCATCTAGTCAAATCCCTCTATTTAAAGTGGATCTAAATACTCTGTAGTACAGAGTCACTTAACAAGTCTAGCTGTGTTGGGTATAAGCCAGTGGTTAACCCTTAGACCCACCCAATCCTCTCTCTCTCACTGCCCAGTGGATTTCCTGGGCTCCGAGGAGTGGCCAACCTGCTCTCTTTCCCTGTCCTTTCCCCATCCTACATACAGTGTCTTTCGTGATTCCAATAGGTTCATCTTTATCAGAAGGTAAGTATTTAATTTAACTCCTCTTGTCCTTCTTCTAGGTGTTTCCACAGACACTTATATAAAATTCTATCACCATATCCCAGGATAATAATATATTCATCAAAAAAACCCTCTCCTCAACTAACGATCATAAGGCAAAGAAGCTGTCCATGTAGAAACTCCACAGGGCCCCTCCAAGCAGATCTGACTGCCAGGTCTGCACTTGGCAAGTGAGGCTGGGCCAGGCGGGCTTATGTGTGTAATTCAGAGACACATTTAGGAGGAAGCTGATCAGAAGAGTGTAGAGGTGACCTGGGTCACAGGTGAACCATGGCATGTTGCCCACTACTCATCACATTCTGTTCTTGATTTTGGTAACTTTGACTTTTACAGACTTTGAGCCCCTTCAAATTCCCACAAAGGCTGGGGATTAGTGCCCAGGTGCACAACCAGTAATCTAAGTAATAGAGCCAGTATAATTTAGCTCACCCTAGAATGTATTTCTTAGGCTACATTTACTGCTTGGTGTATAGATTTCATTTTCTCTTTTGCATTCTGTTTACTCAGATGATATGACACACTAACTGGGTTTTTGTTCCAGCTTTGACACTTAAGTTATTATGTGATTTCAGATTAGTCACTTTCCTTCTCTGGGCCTTAATTCCCATCTCTAAATAGATACCCTATGAGGGCTTGCTCAAAACCGACAGTCTGGCATTTTGATGGCTATACTTTTCTAGCCCATTCTGCATCTGCCTTCATTTGAAGCTTCTTTTCCCTTGAGCTTACACAATGCCCCACACATCTCTAGCACTAGACAGTAAAGTGGCTGGATCCAAATGTGTCTAACGCCACCAAGCTGGTACCCAGCCTCCACCTAACCACTCTGCTTAGTAAACATTCGACTCCCTTCACTCCCACCTTCATTGCCTCTGCTATGACCCACAGGCTTGCTGCTGAGTGAAGGTCACCCTCTATTGAGACATCCCAACCCCAAGTCTCACCAAGATCTATAAGTATATGATTCAGTCAATGCACCCTGACAGTTTAAGCATTAGAAATAAGAAGTTTTTTCTAGGACAAAGAAAACAAACAAACAAAAAACCCTGGCCCAGAGGCAAGCAGCCCATTCTGCCCCATCTTTTTCTGGAAATGGAAAGGTGGGGAGGAAAGAGATGCAAGACTCAGGTGACACAGATGCCCTTGGGGCTGATTCTCTGCAGAAGACCACAAACATCCTTGACCCTGTCCACCAGACCTTCTGCTCTTCTCCTGACACCATCTCCTAGATCTGGTTCCTGCTGATGCAAAGAGGTAACACTGTAGAGAACCTCCTGCAAATCTCTGTGCAAGAGGCCCTTTCAATCTCCCTCAGACTCCCATCTCTATCAGCAGCCCTGCTTCCTGGCAAATTTGCTGCTGCTACAAGGTGCTCAGTTTGGCATGTGAGGTTACTAAGTTAAAAGGCTGCTTTCCACCTCCAAAAGCAGACCTGAGATGAGTAACAAAATCCAGTTCTCCCACACTGACTCTAGGCAGAGTGCCAAATGACAAAGATTCTACTCTGTTCCAATCTTCTCTACTTTACTAACACCTACTCTAATCTATTCCAGTCCAGTTTGTCCAGTCATTTATTCAATAGACAGTTATTAAATGCATGTCATGTTTCCAGTATCAGATAAATGGCAAAGCAACAAGAACTTATTCCTTAAACTCAGTGAATTGTTATTCTAATTAAGAGGGAAATATGAAGAAAAAATATCTCCAACTTGGGCTAATGGTGATAAAGAATGACAATACATAGGGAGAAAGACATTATGGAAGCAGTACTCACTGAGGGCATGGGGAGGTCTCCCTAGTGTTGTGATCTTTAGGATGAGAAATGAAAATTCAAAGAGGTCATTCACTGGGCAGGGGAGAAACAGCACCAGTAAAGGTGTTAAGAGTGCAAAGAGAAGGTGCAGGAGGTTGTGAAGGATGGGCAGGCACGTACAGTGCAAAGTTAGTGCCAAATGAGGCAACATGCATTTAAGAAGATGGCCCAGGGTCAGACCAAAGTAGCTTTGTAGACCTGGCTTGGTTGGATTTAATTAAAATGTAATAGCCAATGATTGTAGGGAATTAAGATGGAGTGTGACATGGAGAGGTTTGCTGAATGGGAGGCAGAGGGTGAAGTTAATTATTTGGAAAGTGGATGAAGGAGGTGTTGAGGGAATGCTTCTTGTGTGTTCCCTCAGCACCACTACCCATGGGTTTTTAGTCTGTACACCGTAGTCCTTCCCCAAAAGACCCTGCTGTGCAGAGTCTTGCCTTTGTGTCATGGAAGCCCAGCTAATCACAGTGACTTCTCTGTTGTTAGTGAGAAGTGATCTGGAAGTAAACAGAATCTGTGGCTATGGCACTGCTCGCTGCCGCAGGAAATGTAAAGAACAGGAAAAGAAGATTGGAAGATGTCCCAACACCTCTGACTGCTGCTTGAAAACATGGAGTGAGAGCGTTTTGCGTACTATGAAACAGTAAACGCAGGGCTGTGGGGTCCTACAGTTGCCCTCAACAGGACCTCTCTCTTCCCTTTCCCAAGACTGTACAAAGAGGACGTTGCTAGCACAACCACATCCAGTCATCAAGCAAGGTCATACTCCCCCACTCAATGCAAAGCCAACATGAAGGACTGCAACAGAACATGAAGCCCAAAGGGCCTTCTCTGGATGTGACAGGGAGTGTATGGTGCAGGTGAGGCAGGACCTGGATACATAGATGAATAAATAAAGAAAATATGGTAGACATAAACAATGGAGTAGTATATAACCATAAAGAATGAAATTATGTCATTTTCAGGGAAATGCATGGCACTGGAGATCCTCATGTTAAATGAAATAAAACAGTCTCATAAAGACACCATCACATGTTTTCTCTCACATGTGGAATCTGGAAGAGACAGTACATGAAGGTAAAAGGGGAACTATTTGGAATATGGAGGGGAAAAATGAGAAAGAGAAGGGGAAAAAAGGGAAATAGAGGGTATGAGAAAAATGAAGAACATTATATGCATTTTGGGAAAGTTACAATGAACTCCCCTAGTTTGCATAATTAAAAATTAGTTAGCCAGTCACCAGCGACTCACTCACGTAATCCTAGCTACTCAGGAGGCAGAGATCAGGAGGATCACAAGTTTGTAGCCAGATGGGACAAATAGTTCCTGAGACCCTATCTCAAAAATTCTCAACACTCAAAAGGGCTGGTAGAGTGGCTAAAGTGGTACAGCACCTTCCTAGCCAGTGTGAGGCCCTGATTTCAAACCCCAGTGCCAATAAAAAAAGAAAAAAATTGATTAACAAAATCAGTTTTAGCTGAATGAGGACTAAATGTATGTATACATATACATATATATGTAATTAGCCATAAACAGAAATGAAACATCCTTTTTTTTTGCTTGATTTATACCAATTTGTTTGGATGACACTGGCTTTCTTTGCTGATCAGAATTTCTGATTAGCAGTTATGTCTACTGGTCATTAAAATGGACAATAAACCAGTATTAAATGAAGCTCATTTAGAAAACATTATTTTCAAAATGCAGACCTCTCAGGAGAAAAACAAAGTGATAAAAAGTGACGAGAAGTTTAAGGGACCCTTTGTAACCTAAGGGGTTGACAAAATAAGTGTCTATAAGCCATCATACCGGGCAGAGGGCAGCAGAGAGCAGCTCTGCCGCTGGGTAGGATTGGGTGGGATGCTTTGGGCTCATTACCTTGAAAACTAGTAAAGAAAGGAAAGCATTAAATCATATGAACTGTATTTTCAGCCCAAACTGTACTGCACGGTCACCAAGTGGTTTATGAAGAAAACCTTCTCTCTACAAAAGTAGTTCAGCAAAAAATGAAGTATCAACATTTTAAAAACACATAGGGAAATAATGATGTAGCCAATTAATGACAGCAGCCACTAAAATAAGCAAGAAAATCAACCTGATGTCTTGTGCTGACTTAGAGATGTACACAGACTCATGTATGAACTGCTAGACATGGAAACTAACATCACCCTCAACTTTTAGGTGCATAAACCTAGGCTGGGTTTACCTCACATCCTGTACAGTGCAGTGAACCTACAGTGGTCATCAACCCTCTTCAATTTGCTCAGTCTTGTTTCATTGCTTGTTAACCTCTCCCTCTCCTAGATTATTTCCAAGAATGGTAAATTATTTTAAGGTTTTCCATCTGAATAGAGGGCAGACTAAATTAGGGAAGTTGAGGCACAAGAAGAAAACCTCAGGGCATGAAAAAAAATTCTAAGAGAATAACCAGCCAGTGCTAAGAATAAGCTCTACACAAATAGATAAAAATGAAGGATAACCATACTTTTAGACTTACAGTAGTAATTTGCTCTAGATAACTCATTCTGAGTAAATATCTCAAGAAAAGCACCTGATACAGTTCATCCATGGACTGAAAGGAGACCTTATTAAGAGAGAATAAATATTTCCTAATGATGGAGTTTTCTGCCCTAAATAAACATCTTTTAAAAGAAAGAATGTGGTAGATTCTCAAGCATAAGTTATCATTAGAGGTTGTTAAGACTGCAAAATTAAACATTGTAAGTACAGCACACATTTATTTTTCCTCAGAAAATATATAATGTAGTTTCTCTGATTTTGCTTCTAATGAGTGACACTGTACCTAAAACCTAAAGATAGTTGGCACTTAATTTAAAAGTGTGGCAAAAAAAGTTACAAGAAACATGTTATAAAGTCTCTTCCATTAGTAAGGCCATCTCAGACTCACTGTTTCCTTGCTTGGGAGTATGTCAATATTTTAAACAGCAAAATGATTTGGATAGTACCAAGTGCTAAACATAAAGAGCATGCTTCTCTGGAGGAAAGTTTAACTACCCAAGACTGACTTGACCCTGTAGCTATCCCGTACACTATCCCATACATGAAGGAC